GGGGGGGGGGGGGGGGGCACGGCTGGGCAAGGTGCAAAGCTCAACTCTGCCCAAAAAAAACCACTCACTCGTCTTACAAAACAGTCATCTCTTCTCCTCTGAGCTGGAAAGCAGGGAAATTCCACCTCGGGTCTGGGTTTTCTTTTCCTTTTTTTTTTTTTTTTTTTTTTTTATGGGAGGGAACTTGAGCTGAGAGGAAAAAAATAAATAAAATTAAAAAAAAAAAGTTAAACCTTTGGAATTTTTGCCCTTTCCCAACCAGCTCTTCTGCAGTCAGGATATCAGGGGAGCACCTAAGGAAAATTACCCCCCCGAAAAAAGCAGATTGAAGCAGGAGAGGTGGGGATTCATTCATTTTTTAACTCGCCCTGAGCTTGGGAGCGAACTAAATCTTGGTTGTGTTTTAGCAAGATTCTTGGTTGTGTTTTAGCAAGATTCAAGTGGATTTTTTCCCTCCCTCCCTCGGAAATGCCATGACTCACCGGAGGCTGCGGCGGAATAACTCGTGAGCGCCTGATTTGTTTCTAACCCTGCCCACGGCAGAGGGAACCACAGGTGAGGACCTGGAAGTCTTCAGATGGGGCTCCTGGGGAAAAGAAAAAAAAAGGGGGGGGCTCCCCAGGAAAAAAAAAAAAAAAAAGTGCTTCTGGCCAGGGAAAGGGCTCGGTGGATTGAAAATCTGGGTGGCCACAGGGCTGGTGGAAGGCTCACCAGCATCATCATCAGCCCCGGGAGGTGGAGGAGGGCTGGGAGGCTGCGAGGGGATCAGCAGAGCTGAAAATGTGGGTATTTGGGAAGAATCTCCCCTTTGGTGCCCACCCTGGTGGCAGAGCGGGTGTTTGTGCTCCCAGGTGTGCGGGGTGTGAAAACCTGGCTTGTTCCTTGCAGACCTGAGGGCCTGTCCGTGGGGAAAACTAATTAAGCTGAAGCGTAATTTAAAGGAGAAAAAAGAATTCCTGCTTGTTTCCTGGGTGGGTACTTCTATTACAAGCCCCAAAAAGTATGCAGGGCCTTTTGTTTAACCAAAACCATGTGTTCTGGGCTCCAGATACCACTGACTTCAGCTGAAGTCATTTGGGTCCTTGGAGAATAGTTAATTTTTTTTTTCAGTTAATTCAGGAGAAATGCAAGCCCACGGCCTCTCCGCATTGGCATATTCCACAGGACGGGGAAGGAGCTGGGTCACCCTCTCTCTCTCAAAAGCCAACCTGATGCTCTTTGGGGCGCTCGGATGGGAGAAGGCTGGACGTGGAGCAAGGGGAGACATGGAAGTGGAGCTTCCCAGTTTGCCCCATAGTTTATACTGGTCTCTTGGGCACATCCCAGCAGCGGGAGGCCAACCCTCAGCATCCAAAATCCGAGACTTCATCTTCCTCCTGCCAAACACTTGTCAGGAATGTGTGGTGCCTTCTCCATCCAGCTCAATCTCCCCATTTATGAAACCGAGCGGAGCTATCGGTGCTGACAAACCACAGAGCTAATCTTTTTACCCAGCACCAAACAAAGCCGGTTTTGTGTCCGGGGGGAGGTGGGTATTTAAGCTCCTGGGGGGAGGTGGGCGATGCTCCCCCTCTCCCACTCCCCAGCCCATCCCCAGGGGTGGGACGCCCCGACAGACACGTCATACACCCGCCAAGCAAGAATTTCCACCCCGGGCCGTGCTGGTATTTCCATTTAAGGCTGATTCGAAGGGGCTGACACCGGTCACGGGCAAGAGAGAGAGTGTTTGTTTATCACCCGGGGCCAGGCCTCCCCAAAGGCACCCACTCCTTATCACAGCCTGAGCATCCCCACACCTCCCTCCCAACTGGGAGCCCCAAAAGAGCCGGGGAGGCCACACCGCAACAGAAGAATCGAGGGGAAATTAAGGTTTGGGCCACCAAATTCCTCCTCTTCTTCCTCAGCTCTGTAAATAAAAGGAGCTTCAAGGGTTTGAGCGGCACCGTGGCTTGTGTCTCCCGCTCCTGGGCCACGAGGAGAAGGGAGATGGGAGCCCAAAGTGCCCACAGAGGCCACCCCCATAATAAACGGCTGGTGGCTGGGGAAGCCTCGTCTTATCGGCCACGGTTAGTGGTTAACCTCGCCCCAGCCGCCTGCCCCCGCGGCGCCCGACGGTTCAGAGCCTTGAAATTATTCAGCCTGGAGAAGAGGAGGCTGAGGGGAGACCTTATTGCTCTCTACAACTCCCTGAAAGGAGGGTGTAGAGAGATGGGGGTCGGTCTCTTTTCTCAAGTCACAGGCGACAGGACAAGAGGAAATGGCCTCAAGTTGC